ATCATCTACCAGCTTTATGCTACGTAAGTTTTCGTTCTCCTGTTTAATCTATCTGCCGTCATCTCCTTCGTCACTCCTTTCTTCATCACGTCACCTTTCACAAAATCCATTCATCTCTTTCTATTTCTACTTTTACTAGTAGAAACCGAATCATGTTGATAAAATTAAAATTTTTATTATAAGCTGTGATAAGACGTTTGTAATTCTTAGAACCGGTTAAAAAGATTTTTTTTAATAAAAGGGAGCAAACGTGCGGCTTGAACACCAAGGTGATCAACGACGCTCATGGACGTCCGCAACACCAGAGGAACTAAAGATGCGTTGCCGGCCTTTGAGGAAATGATAGGCTCAATAGATGAGTTCAATAGCTTTGAACAGTTGAGCTGTGGCTCACGACATGGAATTGTCGTGAACTGCCCGATGAGTTGCAAGTCGGGAAAGTCATACCTCTATGCGGGTACAAATTGGGCTGATCTTCTTGGTTTACTGGTCTGCTTCATCCATGCGTACAATGAGCTGATCTGCGGGTTGTATTAGGTCGATTTACCCATAACTAAACATAATATCGCATAAAATGTTATACGAATAAATATTTGCTTAGTCGCTTGAAAGTTATTGGGCAAGATGCTAATTAGTTTTCCGTGTCAAGTCTGAGTCAGCGATGTCCAATTATAGAATATTGAGTTTATTTTGATACAATACTTCGAAGAAACACAATTCAAAATGAATCTGTTAAGTCCAGTAGGTACTCGTTAAAACTTTGGAATCTAAATTATTATTAATATTTTACTCCTGTTAATAAGCGGTTCGATGGAATGTACCTAAAAGTGTCATGGTAAGGAGATTTTCACTGTAGTTTGTAAAGGTCGGTTCGTAGAATATACAACAACGGTCTGTGATAAGAATTTAATATAAAACGTGACATCATTAATAGAATTAGTAGAGTTATTTTTATATGCGGTGTTCATTAACCTTGAGTTTCTAATGCAGAATGTAGAACAATTTTTAACCATTGATTGTCAAAAAAGAATCATCAGATAAGTGTAACAAAAAAAAAACAATCTTCTACACTTTCCAAGAACGTTTCAAGAAATATTACAATAGGTATAAAAATAACCTGTTGTAATCATATCCCAAAATAACTTTATTGTCCGCGAATAGAGTAGGGTGTACCCGAGCTAAATATACATTCACGGATATCTGGCATAACTTTTACTAAAACTATATGAAAATTTAGTTCCTAAATATACATGACTATCGAACAACGCTTTAAAAGCCATGAAATATACCGACGAGAACACATCCTATCAATTTCCGGTGCTTACGCGTGTCATGAGCTAGCACTTGCAGATAGTTCAGCGTTCAGTTCAATCATTCAATTATATTTACTGCTGCGATTTTAGCAAAGTGCCGATTAGTCTCATCATTTATAATCAATTATTGTGTTTAAGAGTTCGTTTATAAAAAAAATATAATACTATAAATGCGAAAGTTTAGATGGATAGATGTTTGTTAGAGTTTGTAGCCTAAACGACTGAAAGGATTTCGATGAAATTTGGTATAGATTTAGGGAATAGCATGGAAAACACATAGGTTACACTTTAGTTTTTATAATACCAAACGGACGGAGTCGCGGGCGATTGCTAGTAAAATATTAAAAGGTATAATTGCAGTCATTTTCTTTTTGTAAAATCTAAATAGACGATATTTTACATAGTTGTTATAAAGATTAAGATTTTATTAAAAGTCTCAAAATGAATAATAACTTTATCCAATTCTCTGTATATTCCGGTTAACTTTAGTTAGATTAGTAAATTATTTCAATGATGGATAATATCACAGTTGTTAGAGTTATAATTGCTCTAACTGACGCAATAAGTAAGTTCCCACTAAGAGAGCCTCTTAGTACACCTCTAGTGTGTGCAAACTAAGCGATTGATTAATTAAGCGCATTAATAACTTAGTATTTGTAACTACAAATGTTTAATTGTGATTTTAATCCCTAAAATTAATTGTTAATAATATTTACGTGAAAGGAAATCATTGTAAGTAACCCTTTTAGAGGCAATTACGTAAAATGTGAGACGTAGTTAATGCGTAAAAGTGATTCGTTTAATAAAACAGTTATGATTATGAGTTATCATTGAATTTAGAGGAAATGGACGTTTACTAGTAATTTCTAATGCTGTTGTATTGCCGTTCAATGTAGCATTGTATTGTGTGTGTCTTTGTTGTATCTTCTACATATTAAATATGATATCGTTGTTGATTGTGTTGGTAAAAACGTCGTGTTCAACGTTGGTCTAATTTCTAATCTCCTATATAAAACTAGCTTTCGCCCGCGACTCCGTCCGCACGGAATTAAAATAAAACAAACGCAAGTAGCCTATGTGTTCTTCCAGACTATCATCTCATTTGACATAGTCAAATTTCATCGAAATCCGTTCAATCGTGTATGTTACAAACTAACGAACATCTATCCATCCATCTAAACTTTCGTATTTATAATATTAGTAAGATGTAATATATTTTCCCTATGCGATTCTAAAATATATCGACAATATTGTTACGAGGACCCGAAAATTTTTATTCCAGACATTAAAAAGTTTCTCTTCAATAATAGTATAGAAATCCATACAAAAAACATATATAAGTCCCAAACTGAAGAAAAACTGTAAATTATAAATACAAATCAACGAAATACTCAGTGCTGTGACCAAAATAACGACTTTTGATAAGTTACAATATCGGCCGGAAACCTGTCGAAAACGGCCAGACTATCAGCGCCCTGCCACAAATAATGTTGTTATATTTTTTATAACAACTAGTTTATTGCCCGCAAAGTCGTCAGCGCGAAATTAAAAAAAAACAGCTAATATTACTCTCGAATACACCTTCCATTTAAAGTCGCGATAAAATCGGTTTAGCTGTACAGAGATTACCGGGACTTGCGGATTAACAGACAGAGACAAACATTTTTAAAAATAGTTGCTTTGTTTCAAGAAACGCAAATGTTCGATGTATAAAAAATCTATTTTGATATTACACTAAGCACCCTATATTTGCTAAAAGCGCGCGTACATCTTTGACTTAACTATCGCACGACCGTTGTGCCCGACGACGAAACAATCGACAATCGCACAACGGTTGTGCGATAGTTTATTCAAAGGTGTGCGTCCGCTCTAAACCTATATTCTATTTGTACAATTAGTAGAATTGGAGTGCCGGTTGTACCGTCGAATAAAAATTATTTCGTAACTATGATGTATTTGCGTTGCTGATAACGATAACCGAGGTTTTAATTTTTTTGTCTGTCTGTTCACCCGCCGCGTTTGTTCCAATTAATCTCCGAAACGGTTAAACACTGTTACACTTTGACGGGACTTTGTCGGGAAAGTTGCCATATGGCCAATATGATTGGCAATTTTTTAAAATTACAAACAGACAAAGTCGCTGTCTATCGCTATTGTAAAAAAATCACATTTCGCGATCACGATATATTTTATTTGCGTTGCTCATAACGTAAAATAAATTTTCTAGTAATAAAAAAATATTACTAGAAAAAAAATCTATGACGTCATCAATTTTCTTTCTTCGTCTTCTTAAAGCACTATCTTTTATCGTAGATCGGCGATCATTACGGTAATTTTTCTTTACAAGTTTATTTTTACTCTATTGCTTGAGAATTGTATTTGTTATTAATGGTTAATACGATTCTTCTGTTCGAAGTGCGAAGTTTTTAGTTATTTTATTTAGTAATAATAATTATTACCAACTTTTAGGTTGCGTTGCCATTAAATCGCACATCCTGTGTTCAATTACAGACGGGTTAAAAGTACAGATACAAAAATTAATTACTTTTCTGTGTATCTGAAGTATTTTTTAAAGAATTTAAATTTTGCGATATTCCAATTAGTTTATTAAAGTATAAGTAATTTTTTTTTATTCATTTATAAGTAGCTTAATTTTAATACAAAAATATAAAATTTCGCCAAACTGCCAAAGCAGTTTGTTGGCGGAAACTGCACCCATAAACTAAATACTTTTAATACATGAAATTATTTCTATAAACAAAACATTACTTTTACTAGTACGTAAACTAATATATGAAAAATAAATTAAATCTCTCTTAGTTAGAACTAACCACTTAATTATTCGGCCGCGTAGATATTTAGTAATTAAAAAAAAACTTTATAATATGCCGACGGGAATCTTATTTAAAAAAATGCTTATTTAAAAATGTGCCGGCACATCAATGATGAATATCATCATAAATAATTTTATTACATTAATAAGTTTTAAAATAAAAAACAGTGAAGGTATAATTTATTTTTACGCCAAGTTTACGAATTACGATTTATTTTATTTTTATAGTATTAATAAAATTAAAAAAAAATCCAATTCAAAAGTTTGTATCCGTTTTACCGATTAAAGAAATATTTTTTTTCTATTTCCAAATACACGTAGAAAATAGTCACAAAAGTTAAAGAAATAATTTCTGTAACTTTTGCGAGCTTTGGCGCACGGCGCGAGCTTTTATAGGAATTTTAAACTATTTTTATTCAAACACCTAAGCGAAATAATTCACAATTGTTTTAAATTTCTTCGCTAACTTTATTACACTTATAAAACTGCGTTAAAAAATTATAAAATCCATGTGTAAAAAGTTTGATAAAAAACTTAACGCTTAAAACGTAATGTAATCGTTAGGTCTGTAAAATATAACATTTAATAATTATTGAGTAAAATAATTATTTTACTCAATAATACCATAGATCCTAATGTCCATCGGTCACAAGAAATTACTTAGGGCATTGGCCGAGGGCTAACTTTGCACCGCGAATTTAAATATACAAGTTAGCGAGATGCAGCGACCGGTTGTTCGCAAAGCAGACATAGCCAGCTTAACGCACTGGACAAAATCTTTCGCAAAGTTTTACTCGCGCCGTGCATTATACCGCAGCTCGCAAAAAAGTTCAGTCGAAGTTTAAAGTACTTACAGTGTGTGCGCGTCCGTCGGAGTTTTCGGAACTGCTTGCAAGTCCTGATGCAGGCATCGGACCGCATTCCGGATACACTGGCATTTAGCCGGGCATGGTATCTCCGCGAACGCGTAATTCACTAAGTTTAAGAAAATAAGGATCTTAAGTAAGACCCACATTTTTGGGATAAGAGCGAGTGTTCGCTTACCACCGTATCGGATGGCGACCAACGAACGAATGAGCCGCCTCTGCAAGCGGTGGGCGCTGTGCTCAGCCGCGGGTAGCGGGCGGCGGGTGTTGGCGGGCGGAGTTCCGCGTATTGCTGTCGCTACCGGCTCGCATTGTCCATCCCTGACAAACGCACTTCAACACAACACTTGGGCGGAGTTTAGTACACCTTTACGCTACAGAAGCAGCGGAACTATCACACTATCCCGCTTTATAATTTTTTTTCAATATCATGAAATAAATTTAAAACCTTATAGATTAACCTAGAGTGCAAAACCAGGTGCGCTAACCCTACGGAAGTAGGATGAGGACAGTGAGATGACCCTTAAAAACTATTATTTTATACAGATGCGGTTAAAAATTTAAATAGCGTTTTCTAAATAAGTTTAATGAATGATATTTTAATAAGGCATTTTAATGACCACAGATAATTAAAATACAGTGACGTCCTTAAACAATGTGAATTACAAACTCATGTGCTAATTTACTAATTGCACGGCGCGTTGGTAAAAATCATGATGAACAGAAAATCAGCGCACGTATCTCGGAAACGGGCTTTTAAAACGATGTGATATTCTCTCGATCTACGACAGCGGAGCGAGCGGTATAAATGATTATAACTAGTTACTCTTTCAACATATTCTGTGCCAAACCGTGTCCCAATAACTTCATCTGCAAATTGACTAGCATGCATATTTTAGCATGAATAGTAGTAGTCTTTGAATTTAGTATGTACCTGTGTGTAAAACACAATTTTCTTGTCGGAAATACAGAAAAGATAATATAAGATATTTTTCTGGAGATAATACAGAGTCACTCCTTTAATAACAGATATTTATTGATGCAAGATTCCAAATTTCTAAGGCCGGTAGTTTGTGAGCTGATTTTTCGGTAACCCTTATTGTTTGTATTCGCGATATCTTCTAAACTGTTAGTCCAATTTAAAAACTGTAAAGGACGATTTTATTCTACATTAAATTTTCCTGATAACAAACGCATTTCTGTGGATAAGGATTAATATTGAAACCAATAAAAGAACGCCGCAAATAGCGCGTGGTTTTTAATGCATTTTATAAACAAAAAAGGGGTTATTGTAAGAAAACCGTTAAAGATAGAAGATATATGCTATCGCGGACTTTTTTGTAGAACTCTTTGAGATCAACACTTCCTTCATAAATCATTTTTAAAAGAAAAGTTAAAATTTAGTGATTTTTTAACGCCGCTGTCCAGAAACATGTTGTTTATTAATAGTTCCTCAACATTAGTAATATAAAAATATAGCCGTACGTACGTAAATATACCGTACTAATGGTGAAGGTATTTATAAAATAGGCCAATTAGTTTTTACGTGAATAGAATACGTACAAAAATACAAATATTTCCTCATATTAAATTTAAATATACCCTTAAGAAATTTAATTACATATCTTTGACTAGACTGCGTCAGTTTCCCTAGAGATTAATTCCTAGAAATGATTCTGTCTCTAATAAAACTACGGCGAACTCACATAAAAAAGAAATCAGACTGCTAAAAAAACATAATGTTATCTACGTGAAGTTTTGGTACTTTTGTACCAAATACTTTTGTTTACAAATTTATTTATAGTCGATTCTCATTTCGAACTCACGTCTCGATATGAGGAGAAATCCTTGTATAAACACCGTCTATATGCACGCTTACATATAGATTAATGCACAGTACCCGAAACTGTAACACAGCATATAGAGTATACGATCGTTTGTATAGTAGGTCACAAACAATATGCACAAAATTATATCATCAGTTTGCAGAACGACGCATGACTAAATTAAGCCTACAACTCGGCCGCGGACGGTCGGCGTCCCTCCGCTCGTCGCAAACAATGACGTAATCCTAACTTTATACCGGACACTTATAATAATGACCTTGCCAAGTTAGGAAGACGTAATGCAAATAAAAGAAATTGAAATATAACATGCAATTTTTAAATATCTTTACTTACTGGATATAGCATTTTAATGTAGTTATATGTGGTATATTATGAGTAAACGACTGTTTACTCATTCCACAGAATAGTTCAATCTATTAGGAGATTTCTTTAGAGATTTTAATATAAAGAAATATAGTAAAATTGCTTTATGTAAACAGGATTGGAGTTTTCAGTAAAATACGTTTATCTATAAGTTTTACCACACTTAAGTTAGCTTAAAATTAATGCTAAAGTAATCGAGCCAAAATAAAATACTAGCTTTCGCCCGCCGCTCCGTCGTCGTGGAATAAAAAAAAATAGTTGCCTATGTGTTCTTCCAGACTGTCCTCTACATTTATGCCACATTTCATCAAGATCCGTTAAACAGTTTAAGCTACAAACTCTAACTAAGAAGAGAAAAAGTTATCTATACTTCTATACTAATATTTAAAGAGATTTATGCTTTGTATTTTTTTGTTTTTGTATGTATTGAAATAACTCAGAAACTTCTGGACTGATTTTAAAAAATTCTTTCTCCGTTAAAAAGGTAATTTATCCGAGAGTAACGTATAGGTTATATTTTTTATTATTTTTTAATTTCCCGCGGACGAAGTGCGAGCAACAGCAAGTTAAGAATGAAGTTATTTGATTGTAAAAACAATTTAAGGTGGTTTTCTTCATTAAGGCGAAGTGTCGAGTTCACGGAACATATTAAATTCCAGGCGAGACGAGACGGACAGCGCTATCCGAGCACAAGTTATGTGCTATGCTTTTCTTTCCTATTATTGAGTTGGATAGCCATTTGTCCGAGCCGATTACGCTTCGAACTCAACTCTAAAACATTTTTACTTATATTCAATAAATAAAGTTGTGCTGAGTGGCTTTAAATAAATAAATTAGAGTAGTAATAGAATAGTTGTTGTCTACCAATAAATAACATGTTTACATTACCAAAACGACTTTGTAAAAAACTAACTGTTGCTGTAACTTCGTCGCCGTGAAAAAAATGAAAAATATATAGCCTATCTTACTCACTGGTAACGTAGCTTTTTAACGGTGAAAGATTATTTTTAATATGGCCCAGTAGTTGAGTTATTTCAATATATACAAAAATACAAATCTTTCCACTTTATATTAGTATAAATTATGTTATCTCGGTACATTTCGAATTTGGGATAAGATAAATCTTATACTCGTAAAAAGTAAACAGATTTTATAATATAGTCAAACTGAACTCTATATTAAATCCGTCAGCAAGCGAGGGGATAGGAGTAAGACTAGATGACAGCAATCGGTTGAGAAATAGACTTTATTCAATTGATATAGACGCTAATATTCAGTGACGTAATGACAAATGCGTTTGAATCCGATCACTAAGTAGTCTTAGGCAAATTGAATTCAAATTAAAGCTTGATTCAAAACTCCAGTCAACACTTATAACTAAATCAGTTCTAACACTCGATACTGTCATAAAAGATTTTTTGAGAATAGACTGTAATAATGCGAATCGATAACAGCCTAGTACAGTGATCCTTCCTTCAAGAAGCCAGCATATCATTTCCTCAAAGGCCTGCAACGCATCTGTAGTTCCTTTGGTGTTGCGGATGTTTATGGGCGTCTTTGACCACGTCGGTGTTCTTGCCGCTCGTTTGCCCCCTTATGCTATAAAATGCTATAAGTGGTCCAGAACCTCCTAGGTTACACTGAAAACCTAATAGACTTGTAGTATCCAAGAATGAATTTGAGGGACCACAACTTCAAGAACAAAGGGAGAAACAAGAGTTCATCGAAACCATATGTTTTTATTGTAGCTTAGGCACACTAAAAGTCTCATCATCATCACAAGCTTACTAAATGTTCCCACTGAGACGCTCGGAGCCCACCGTAAGTTTGGGGTGCTAGGACTAGTCAACCACCACCAAGTGCGGGTTGGTTGACTTCACACATATTATCTTTTGAATTTCTTTGCCGATATGTGCAGGTTGCATCAAGATGTTTCCCTTCACCGTAGGAATGTCGGTTAAATAACGTACATAGGAAGATTCAAAAAATTTAGAATCACATTGGTACATAGAGGATTCGAAGCCACGAGCTGTAGATTACAAGTCAAGTGTTTAAGCCACTGAGCCATCGACGCTCTAAAAGTTTGTAACGAACAAAAGTTTACGCGGAGAAAAAAGTTGGAGAACATCAAGTCTAGGTTGAAAAAGTCAATAAAAAAGCGGACGTGTGTCTAAATTAAATAAAAGACCGGAATACGTTATTGTCATATTCTTTTTACTTTTCAACTTTTTAATGTTCCATGAAAAAGTTTTAATAAAGGTGACACAGGCAGAGTCAAACGAAAGGTGATAATTTAATAAATGAACTTCCATTAAAAGCTTAATGAAAAAATGTATAAAAGAATGATTACTGTTTTAAAACATATTTTAATATGATATTGTTTTGCTCATGATTTTATATTAAACTAGCTCTCGCCCGCGACTCCGTCCGCGTGGAATTAATTAAAACACAAAAGTGAGTAGTCTATGTGTTCTTCCAGACTATCCTCTACAGCTATACCAAATTTAAATGAAATCCGTTCAACGATTTAGGCTACAAACTTTAACAAACATCCATCCATCTAAACGTTCGCATTTATAATAATAGTATGATGGGTAAACGATCGTGCTTTGTAAAGTCACTATAAAAGGCTAATATATTTTAATTTGTCTTCAAAGCTACGCTACTTCCTGTAACTATCATATATTAAATTGAGTTTCCGCTGCAGAAACAGGTACTAATGAAAGGGAGACAACAACCTACGAGTATACATATATTATAAAGAGGAAAGATTTGTATGTTCGTATATATTGGCATAACTGAAAACTACTGGAACGATTTATAAAATTTACTACTAAAAAGCTATGTTATGATTCAGTATCATAGGTTATATTTAAAATTAATATTAAATTCACGCGGACGAAATCGCGGACAACAGCTAGTGTGTTTAAATAAAGGTGTTTCGTTAATTAAAACTATCATTAGTGTCTATTAAGGGTCTCCGTTTAAGTTAGGCAATAGACATCA